GAAGGATGGACATATTTGAAACACGGACTTTGGTGGGGGGGGGGGAACCAAGGGCAACACACGTAACCTAAACATATGTACACCCATAATTTGCTGAAATAAAAAAAAAAAAAATGATAGAACTGATGTCAGTAATGAATCCTAGGAGAATGTCACATTTCATGTAGATATTTTTGTATATATCAAGGGATCTTTGAAACATTGAATAAATTACATGAAATGCTTTCTTATATGGTTCTTTATTTATTCTAAGAGATTATGTAGATCTGCTTTCCATTTGTAGAATCCAAATTGCTTCTACCCACATATATCATGCTTACTCAAGTATTCATGATACTACTTGTCTTTACATAGGGTCTTCCAGCATCTTGATTAAGAGTTCAGAGGGTAAAAGGGAAAGTTCAGTCATATTGGTACTTAGTACATGTACCGTATATACCATACTATACTATATGATATGCAGTGGGTACCTATTATCTTAATTTTATGTCTTATATGTTTACATATTTCATAATGATTTATAAAGCAGATACAACTTACAAAACATAACTGTGTGCTACTGAATAGGGAAGAGTAAAAGTGTCAATAATATACCCATGAAGGGTCATTACACTTGATTGATAATATATTACTTTTAGGGGGTGAGAGAATCACCATCTTTCCTTTGGTTATTTATTTTTCTTTTCTGAACAACTATTATTAAAACATATTTATGTATTTGCCTTTGAATTTCAGACTGAGCTCATAATATAATTTTACAGATCTAACTGTTGGCAAATTAACTTTCAGTTTTATTTTAAGAATACTTCTAATTACTCAGTTTTATGTAGCAAATGATGAAAATGCTTTTCAATTATTTTTAAGTACGGATATTTATACTTGTAGGTAACATTGAGGAAAAGATGAACTGCTGAACTTGACCTATGGCCACCTAAAATTTATTTATATCCTATATATATGTTACAAATTTTCATTATGACATGGAGTAGAGGTGGATCCATCATATAAATTAAGGGTGATTCTAATCTTCTACTTTAAATGTTGTTGAAGTAATCTCTAGTTTTATCGTTTCTAGTTGTTGCCCCAAGAAGCAGCTGCTCAAAGCTGGTCTGGAGGAAAAATTCACCTTCTGGCCAGCTATCCCTCTAGTTATGATTTTATCTATAGAAGCTACTTCAATATTAGCTATAAGAGGACAGGGAGGTAGCGAGGCTCAAGTGATAATCCTAGGAAATAAACCAAATGACCCAGCAAGCATTTATTGAGAACCAACCAAATATCTAATAGGTGCTGCAATACAATAGAACTCGCTGCCTTTCAGGTGTTACCCAGATTTGCATAAGGAAGGAAAGACCAACATATAATTCAATATCTAGTAGAAATTTTTCACATGGGTCTGGTCTCTTAGCTTAGTATTCCGCCATCATATCCCACTGAAAGCTATTATGTCCCTAATTGTTAGAAGGTAAACTTGCTTACAGACATCAAAAGAAGGAAACAGACAAATGGTCTTCTGAATTCCAGATTTAAAAATCGAGACAAGTGGTATCTGCCTAAAATATTCTTGTAGTAACTGTCTGATCTGCTTTTCTATTCCTGTGTATCAGACCATCCTAAACTTGTTGGCCTAAAAGAATAAAGATTTAGATTTCTCTCAGTTCCGTGGCTGGCCAGCTTGGCTGTGCTGAAAAGTCCAAAACAACCTCACTCACATTTCTGGGGCAGCGGTGCTGGCTGTTGGCTGGAGGCCTCTGTTCTCCCCCATGTGGCCTCTCATCTTCCAGTGGGTTAGACCTGCTTCTTTGCATGACAGTCTCAGGACAGCATTTCAAGAGGGTAAAGGCTGAAACTTCAAGGCTTCTTGAGGTGTAGGCTCTGGAACGTACACATTTCTACCGTGTTCTGTTGGTCAAGGTGAGTCCCAAGGCCAGCACAGACTCAGAGAGTAGAGGAATAGCCCTTACCTCTTGATGGGAGGGGCAGCAGAGTCACATTGTAAAAGGACATGTGTACAGGTACAGGTGGTTGCTGTGGTCATTTGCAAACACCGTTATTTTTTTAATTTTCTTTTTATTAAAGCGGGCAGTCCAATGGCAATCCGGCTGTGTGGTCTCTCTGAATATGGAGAGATAGAATTACAAAATGTGACATTAGGAAATTGCAATGAAAATCTGGAATCCCTGGAAAAGCAGGTATGCCATATGGTCCACATGATGGGCAACTGGGAGAAGTTCTGACTCTGTGTAAAGTCTCTGTTCTTCAGATACCTGATGGTCAAATCAATGTTTTTAAAATGCTCAAATTAGAAATAACAAAAACTAGTGACTAAAACTATTATTATTTTTTAAGTTGACATCTGTTTATGAAAAAGGACAGTTGAATATGTTTGTTCAGCAAATTTCAGCAAGTGAAAATCTATAGCACATATTAAATGGCCCCATCTTTGTAGACCAGTGAAGTTTTGACTGAAAATAGATCCCTGACATTTGAGACCAAAGAAAGGTCTTTTGATGGTCTCCCAGATCAGAATGAAAAGCAAAAAACTGTAACCAAAGACCCTTTGAGACAGGAGGAAACTCCAAACCTGACGCTGGTTTCAGGACTGTATCAATGATCAGGTGAAATGAAAAGTACATATGACTAGATATTTTTTCATGCAGATTAAATTATTTTGACTAACCACATACGCAAATGTGTATGCATGGAAGAGCTAACACTCTGGGCCGAGCAAGGGGAGATAGAGGCAATATACCTTTATGTAGGTCCTTTAATGTGCCAGGCATGTGACATATATTATCTCATTTAATCCTTATAAAGCTTCTGTGAGATGGATTTTATTATAATTATGGCTGAAAACACTATTAGTAATTTCTAAGCATTTACATGCCAAGTGCTGTGCTGGACATTTTACTTATGTTATTGGTTCATCATATTTAATTCTTATAACACCACAGATAGGTATTAATATACTCATTTTCTAGATGAGGAAAATGTGGATCTGAGAGGTGAAGTGTTTTGCCAAGTGACTACAGCCAAAAAGTGATGGAGCTTATCTTGGTTATAAAGTCTACACTGTATACACTGGTTTCCTAATCAAAGATGGGCAGGGTGAGGGAAAGGCGAGGATGGGAGCTGGGGTGTGGAGGTGGCTGCCAACCACACAGACTGGAGGAAAGATGGCAGATTCTGGAGTCTGACAAACCAGTGTTTGACTCTTAGCTCTGCTACTTCCAAGTTGTGTGAAACTTCACTTCTCTTGAGACTTTAAATGGGACTGAGGGTGTTCAACTCACGATGTCATTTTTTTGTTTCTTCGTTTTTTTTTTGTCTTTTTTGATTTTTTGAGACAAAGTCTCGCTCTGTTGTCCAGGCTGGAGAGCAGTAGCCCAATCATAGCTCACTGCAACCTCAAACTCCTGGGCTCAAGTGATCTTCCTGCCTCACTCCTGAGTAGCTGGAACTACAGGTGCATGCCACCATGCCCAGCTGACTTCTTATTTTTTGCAGAGACAGGGTCTCGCTGTGTTGCCTAGGCTAGTCTTGAACTCCTGGCTTCAAGCAGTCCTCCCACCTTGGCCTCTCAAAGTGCTGGGATTACAGGTGGGAGCCATTGTGCCCACCCTATAATGTTGTTTTGCTTATTAAATGTGATAACATCTGTAAACATCTAGCCAAGTGCCTAGCACATAGCAAGGACTTGGCTATTAAATAAGACAGTTATTTGTTCCTGTCTACTGATTGGATATTGTTTCTGACTCTTCCCCAAGTGTGAATAGCCTGTGACATTGGTTTGATTTTTGAAATGATGCTGCCATCTAGTGAAAACTAAGTCTCCGCGCCCCACACACACACACATTGACACCCAGCTTCGCTACTGACAATATGGATTAGCCTCACAACACAATGTCTTTGGAAAAATGGTACATTTGGTAGAGGTTTTGAAACCTGCTTATAAATGAGTACATTCTCTCATAGGTTTCACAATTACCATGAGGAGTTTTTAGAATTTTTGTTTGTTTCATCATCTACTATATTTTACTCAAGATTTTTGAATGTGGTGAACCAATTTTTTTAAAATTATTAAATTCAACAGCATAAAATTCCTATGTATGTATTTGACCACTGACTTTCAGGTTCTGTGCTTATCACCCTATGGACTTTGTAACAAACAGTGAACTAACACTGGTCCCTGGACACACTTTGAGTAGCTCCCATCTAGGTAGGGCAGCCCGTAATAGTTAATCAATCCTGGCAGACAGTAAAGGCTGGGAAAACCACTGGCCTGCATATACTTTGTCCTTTAGGCAAGGAAAGAAGCAGACACAAAAAACTGGGGAGATGTGATGTTCAGGAGATTGAAACTCAGCTAATTCCATCTTATTTACCTGTAGTCACTTGCAAAATGTTTAGAGATAAACCTAGTTTTTTTTTTTTTTAATTTTTAAACAGGTAGATAGTGTCACGGCAAGCTTTGATAATATTTCTACCGAAGTCCAGGTTTTAACATCTGATGCCAGTAAATTAACCGCTGAGAACATCACTTCTGCTACTAGAGTGGTTGGACAGATCTTCAACACATCTCGAAAAGCTTCACCTAAGGTAAAGCTCACAGACTTTTTTTTTAAAGAGGGCATTTAGGAAACAAATACAGACATCCTGAACACCACTCCTTATTCCACGATATGGATTTGGGCATCGTTTAAGTGGCTTAAAACCATTTTGCAGAGCAGCCCTTGTGACAGATGCTCAAAGAAATACAAAAGGGCTTCTTGTCCAAATATTTTCTTTCAGGATACTCATGATGACCATTGTTATATTAAATATGGGAAGTCCTGGAATGAATAAATCTATGTCACCTTATTAAAATGCTTACCAATTGCATTTGTCCTCATCATCCCTATTCTGTTGTAAGTAAATAGTGTTTCAAGGAACTTATTTTGGAACATGCTATTTTAAACTGTGATCCCTTTCTGATAAGCATATTTGCATTTTGGTATTGGCTTTCTGAAAACTTTAAGCCTAGTTCACATTTCTGATATTATAACCTGCTAAACTCTGGTACCTGAAAACAAGGAAGTATATGCAACATTTACCAATTGCTATAGCTTGGCTATGGTCAAGCAGGGCTATAAACCACCAAATATGGACTGACCCAGTGTCTCCAAGTTGAATATCAGCGTGCCCTTAAAATAGCTACTCCTTTCTTCCATTCCCTTTAAATGTCTTATTTTAAAAAAAAGTACCTTATGTTCCCTTAAGTCCTTTGTGAAAGTAGATGGGATTCAAGTCATAAGTTAATAAAAACGGGATAGAAAGAGAAAAATATTGACCACCAAATGTAGAATTTATGGAAGGGTTAGCCAGGAAAGACAGAGGGGCTCAATATCCCCAAAGAGGGCGGTTAAACAGTAATCAAATGGCAAGAGATCATCTCTCTGACATACTCCTGAGTTTTTGATTGTAAGAAAATGAAAAATAATCTTACTAAGTCCAATAGTTACTAAAAATAATAGTTACACTAAGTATGACTAAGTCATGCTAAGTATTAACAACCAGAGCACTGCACTCTTCTTATTTTGCTCCTTGTTTCTGTATTCAGGCATTTGCCATTGTGTTCTTGGGGGTGTGGTGAAGGTTCTGTGAAAGGTCTTGCTGTGAGGTTGAATTCAGGGACCTAAGCCTCCTAAATTCACTACCTTGATTTATATTTTCATTTTGCCTTATCTTGGTTCTCTCTGCTGTCTTATGTAGATCAAAAACTGAACCTTTAATTTTGTAAAATACTTCCCTCTAGATTATCATACCAGTGATTCCACTCACTACTATAATAATTTATGATGATGATGATGATGGTAATGTGTATGTATCTTCTATGATGACTGGTGCCTTCTCCTTGGCAGGCAAAAAAAGTTGCTGTAACAACAGTGAGTCAACTTCTAGATGCCAGTGAAGATGTTTTTCAAAGAGCTGCTGCCACTGATGATGATGATGATACCTTTACAACGTAAGCACAATTTTAATTTGGAAGAAAACTTGACAAAGTGCTGTTTACTTTCCTTGGTTAAAGAATTAACCGGGGTGCCTTTTATTTCTCTCATGGATACAATAACTGGCTCATTCCTCTAGAATGCAGACACATGAAGTGGTATGTGTTTTCTCCTGGCTCCAGGGGTGGTTGTGGCCTGGGAGATAGAGAGTAATTGGGATTAGATTAGAATTTGTTTTCCCAGCCTTAGTTTGTCACGGCCGAGAGGCAACCTCTATGCAGGGCAGGACCTCTTCCAACTCCTTTCCCAATGCACACAGCTGCAGAGAACAGCTCACTCTGCAGGACTCACTGCCGGCCTTTAAACCACACCTTAGCTCTCTCTTTCCAAGACCATGGTGTATTTTGATTAAACTTTCTTTTGCTTTCCCAACACTACATTGAAAAAAAAAAAAACAATAATCCTATTCTATCTGCTTTCTCTCTTTTTGACTCCTATGTTATGGATTACTTTGGGTTGTATATTTGAACTAAAACTCATGTACTTTTTATTCATAGAGGCTTCTCACTAGGATTCACTGTATTTTTACCTTATATGGTTTTTAAACCCCCTTTTAAATTTAAGTAAACATGTATACTCATTGTAGAAAAATAGGAAAATATGTAGATTAGCAAAATTTTTAACTTTATTGTAACTTTAGTAACCTGTTGGTATGTATTCCAAATTTTTTCTCTGTGTGCGTGTATGTATATATAAAACATACCGTATTTATTCATAACTCACTTTTGTCACTTAATACGTTACAAAAATCTTTTTTATATAAACATATATTATATAAATATCTATACATCTACACCATAATTTTAGGTTACTGTACAGTATGAATAAACATTTATTTAACCAATTCCCTGCTACCAGACATTTAGATTGCTTCAAGTCTTTTAATATTGTGAACAATCAATATTCTTATACATCATCTTTGTTTGCATGATGCATTATTTCCTTAGGAGAAATTCCTAGAAGTCGTTCTCAGTTTTCTAATGATTCTAACCAGTACCTCTTTAGTGTCGAATCCTCAAAGTAGAAAAAGCACAAAGGCACAACATAGAGCACTCAAAAGACTGTAATTCTGAGAGGTGGTGGTGGAAGTTGTGTGAACACTTTACTGGTGTATTTTGTGACTTCAGATTTTCAACAGAGTATGGGTCCTTCTCGTGGGGAGTGTGGACGCCTCTCATTTTTCCTGAAGTAGGAGAAGAAAGTGGCCATGGGCCCTGCCTGGAAGTTGCCTCTTGGCCATGACAACTAAGGCTAGAAAACAAGCTGTAACCTAAATCACCCCACTCACTCTCTATCTCCCAGGCCACAACCACCCCTGGAGCCAGGAAGCAACATATACCACTTCATCTGTGAACACAGAGGCAGAGCCAGAGTGGGCTCCCTTCAGAGCTGGAGGCTTCGTGTTTGCAGAGAGTAGCTAGAGGAAAAGGGGAGGAGTGCATGTTTTCGGTGAGAAAGCTGAGGGAAGAGAAGCTGTAGAATTTGGCTGAGGACATCACAGGTCACAATACAGATGGGAACACTTTCCTCACAATAAACAATTAAGAATTCTAATGGCTTAAGATGTAGAAGAAAAAATAATTTCATGTGATTTATATGTATGATATGATACAAATGGCTTCAAAGGAGGTGGTTAGAGGATAAATAAAAAATTTAAAATATAGAACACATTGAACTATAAAAGGCTATAATGACATTCTATTCCTCATTCCTCCCACTCTGAGTTTCTAGCCCACATATCTATTTTCCATGATCTACCAGTTTACCCTCTGCCATGTGATCTTTTGCATAAGCTCTCGTGGACTCAGATCCTTCCTTTATTCCCTTAGACAAGGCTTTCACCTGCCTCTAGCCCCCAAGTCAGGTCACCAACCCCTTAGCTCTCCTCAGAAGAATACTCTTGATGAGTTTCCGACAGAGGTCGCCTCCCATGCTCCTTTCTCTACAGGGAAATAAATACATTTTTGCTCAGGGCAACCCTTGCTTTCCAAACTCCATCCTTTGAACCAAGGCTAGGTGCATGGTCTCCTGACAGCCACCAGGCCTTAGTCATCCATCTCACTTTGGCTTCTTTCATTCACAGTTTCCTCTCTGTGTCCTTTAGCTACTGAATTCCCCTTCTACCCTTACAAGGAGAAGTGGAGAGGGTGATAATAAAAGGGAGAAGAGTGACAGGGGAGAAAGACTCCACAGCAGCTTCAGCCATCTCAAGCTGTCATAGTAAAGTTCTCTAGCATCCATTCTCTTTTTCTAAAGTGCGAAGAGGCAGAATGTTAAAGTACACAGAGCTCTGGAGTTGTGGATAGGGTTTCTGCTGATGGGGGCATCATAGTACAATCAGTGAGTTTAGGGCTTCATCTCACCATTTTGAACATTGGTTGCAAAGGCTGATCTATAACCTTAGAACTTTACTGTCATATTGAAAGTCGTAATTGCCCTGGTTTACCTAATTTTGGGAATGCAAACTGCCTCCCTAACACTGACTACCTTCTACATTTACATTTTAATTTTATGTTGTTTTTCTGTTCCAGCTAGCCTTCTTTGGTTATAAGATACCCACTCAAAGTATGTTGATCAATAAAGAGGCATATGGGATCTCATGGGAACTCAAGAATAGGATCATAATATAGCTGGCCTTGTCAACCTAAAATAATCAAAAGGGTCAGAATGTAGTTTGAAGAGTTGATTCAAGCACAAAGTTTGAGAATGGTTGCCTGGGAAGCACATATTCCAAAAAATGGAAGTCAGTGTGTCAAAGTGTAGAAGCTTGGGATTGTTTCTACAGACAAAGTTTAGGGAAAGTTAACAGAATTTCAACATTTTTCTATACAAGGCTTAATGCATAGTTACAATGATCTGATTAGTCGAGGTGCACTTTTTCTTTTGGGAACGGTATATTTAACATTACACATTGAAGATGTAAGAGTCATGAGATATTTTGCATCATCTGGACTGTGTTAGATACAGGACAATGAAGGAGGCAGTTAATCTATAACAAAGATCAGTGATTAGAAGCGGGGAGGTCTGGTCTCTCCTAGTCATTTACAGAACAAGAACAATGAAGAAGAGAGTTAATCTATAATCTAAGAAGCAGAATTGCAAATATGCTATGTGACTCAGTTTCCAGGGCTTAACTTCTTCCTTGGCATAGTAAATTTAGAGGGCCCTGAAATTTTATTTTCTTTTACAGCCTTGTGGACCCTGGAGCAGGGAGTTGACTGAGGGTCCAAGTCAGCTTTGCAGATCTTAGTAAAGGAGTTTGTGGGTCTTCTCCTATTTCAACAGGAAGAATTAGCTTCTCATTTTTAATTTACATTTGTCCTTACAATGATATCATAAGCTCCCTCGTCCCCTTTGAATCATGACTTTGCCAATATAACTGCTGCACTAATTGGAAAATTTCTGCATCAAAGAATCTGATGACATCTTTCAGTCATTTGTACTAAGTTGATGGTTAGCCTTCCCCTGCTACTCTGGGGAAGGCACCCATCTCTAATCTCATCAGTCATGGCAAAAGGAGGGAAGAATCATATGGAAGAAAAAATGGCCTTAGAAATAGCTATGGGTAGAGCAACCCTTTAAAAGCGCCTGTGAACATGGAAAACATCCCAATAAATTGAGCACATCTTTCCCTGTAGCCTGTGAATGCCTGAGGGAGCAGCTGCTGGTATCCTCAGTGTTTGACAGGGTGCTGACCTCTCAGTAGTCACTCAACAGACATTATTTGGTGAATGATGCTCTCAGCAGATTGAAGTTCTGTTAGGCATTCATCCCACTAAAAGCAGCTCTAGGGTATGACTGTTATTCACTATGTGGGAAATACATAGTGTGAATTCCTGAAAACTCAGAAAATGATTGTATGAAAGGAAAACATTTGAAACAGAGGAGCTGACTTGAATGTTTCTGTACAGATGATGATTATATTCTCTTTATAAAGTAATCCTCAATTATTTTAAACTATACCTTTTTTTATCTCACTTGGAGAAAGTGAAAAGATATTTTAGTGACAGAAATAAACATTGGGAATACAGAACAACTACATGTTGATGAAATCCTTTCATTTCTGGGAAAACTAGATTGATTAACTTAGAGACAGAGGATTTGTTAAGTACAGAGCTTGTTCAAATATCTATAGGAAACAAGAAAAAGTAAAGAGTTCTTATGACTTTTCTTTGGAGAACATCAAATTGACAGGTCCCCTCCGCCCACCCCCCCGCCCCCCGCTTCCATCTAATCTATCTTTGAACTTAGGCCGAGTAGGAAAGAGTATTGTGAAAACCTGTGGTGCTTAGTTTACAGCTGAGGCAATGAGCTCTGGGTTCTGCTCTTCTGTGGTTCCCTGTGAACTGTCACCTCAGGAACCAACAACTCACCAGACACACTGTAGACCCCAAGGGAAGTGGCTGGATGAGGGAGTTGAATAAATGGAAATCAATTCTCACCATTGTAGAAACAAGTAGAAGTGCATGCCTGGCCGATGGCGGGTGGCAACACCATCCTTCTGTGTGAAGAGCATCATATTGATAATACAGACTCTTTCTATTGGGAAATCTGTCATTCTTGAATTCCACCTTTCTGGCATCTATGTCCAAGACAGTCTTGGGCGAGGATGGTCCATGAGAACTTTTATTGAAAGTATATATAACAAAGCAAGAAAACCAATTATTTCTAGGTGATTGTCAATGTTGTCTTGATCATGAGTTCTGTGTTTATGCCTTTATACTATAATGTGAGAGACAGCACACACCTCTGATTTTATGACAAAAATCTCTAGCATGTTAAGTTGTTATGTTTTATTCTGTGCAGGCTTCTTGAGCAAATGGAGACTTATTCCTTGTCTTTGGGCAATGAATCAGTAGTGGAACCTAATATAGCCATACAGTCAGCTAATTTCTCTTCAGAAGGCACTGGGGGGCCTACAAGTATTCGCTTCTCTGTGCAAAAAGGTAAGCTGTTTGTCTTGTACACTTGTAATAGCAAAGAGTACTCCACTACCAGTTATGGTTAATTAATGCTGTATTTGTTAAAATGTAGACTTTTAAAATTCTACTTTTTTTCTTCTCGTAGGAACTAGTGAGTCTCTAGTTTCTGGTTCAATGTTTATACATACGAATGTGGATAGTCTTAATCCAGATGGACAGACTGAACTTCAAATCTTGCTTAACACCCCGAAAAGTAGGTCTCAAACTGTGTTATGTTAAAAAGTACAGACTCCAATTCTTGGAATTTATAACTTAAAATCCGCTGAATGAGAAATAATGTCTACTTAGTTTTATACTGAATAATTTGCATTTGAGTATATCTGACATATTATGGTAATCTCAACTCTACTATTTTAGGTAATAGGTAGAGATGATTTCTTTTTTTTTTTTTCTTTTCTTTTCAAAAACCCTCTGAAGGATAGCACAATTGAAAGGTTTAGGCCCAGCACACAGATCTGTTTTCTCACAAAAAATCTTGCTAAAGTGGTTCTGTCTCACACTTACACATTTAATAAATATTCAGTCACTCCCCATACTTACCAGTGGCATGACACTCACAGGCTCAGATTCCTCCTGCAGGCCTACTCTTAGAACAGTTCATACCATTGGCACAGTCATCATTTAGTAGTAGTATATCAATTTTAGGTTATCTCTTTTACATGGTGCCCACATGGACTCCCTATCATCTTGCATAAGGCCTTTCAGAAATTCTCATGCATGACTTGAAATGGTTGTATTTTTCAGAATCTAAAAATAAAAAAGCAAATCAAATACATATAAATTTACATTCTCTCCTCAAATAAAAAATGTAGTGCCAGAAAGTACATATTTTAGAAAGAATAAATTCATAATAGCACTGAAAAAGAAGAAAGGTATTATTCATGGTGTTCTGTGGCATTCTCTGGAATTTTTCTCCCATTTGCTTTGGTCATATGCTTTATGAAGGTACAGACTGAATCTAAGTCTTTTATGGTCTTCTGTATTTTTTTCTTTTAATTTTAAAATATTTCATGCATATAAAAAAGTATAGAAAATAATGTAAGCAGCACCTACGTAAGGTAACAGATGTCAAATTTTGGCTATATTTGCTTTAGACCTCCTAAAAAAAAGAGAGAGAGAAGGTACTACAGCTGCACCTGAAGCCCTCTGCTTGTTCCTTCCCATCCCTCCTCCCCAGTAATTACATCTTTCTGAAGTTGATGTGGGTCATTTTCATGGTGGTCTTTAAACGTTTGCTGCATATTTATGTATCCATAAACAAAATATCCTATTGGTGGTGTTTTAAATATTTACATAAATGGCATCATGCTGTTTAGAACTTTTTTTTTATACTTAACATCCCATTTTGGATGTTTATCCATGTGTGTTGTCAAGCTTGTTAACTTTTACGTATTTGATAAGTATAGTGTTATTTTCCGTTTGCAGCTTGTAAGCTCAATGGTATGACATTGTTGTTCAGTTTTTCTCCCCTTGATTTGAGCATCTTTCCATATGTTCGTTAGACATTCAGATTTTCCATGCTGTGACTTGCCTGTTCAAACACTGTAATTGTTTTTATATTGGATGTTGGTCTTTTTTTTATTGGTCATTAGAAATTCTCTATAAATTCTGAATACTAATTCTTTGTTGGTTATGTAAATTGCAAATGTCTTCCTTCCAGTCTGTTGCTATCTTTTTGAAGTCTTTTTTCATACCAAAATTTTAATTTATAGTATGACAATGTGCCCAGTATGTTAGTCTTTTCCTCTATAACTGGTATTTGTCTTTTTAAAAGAAATCCTTCCTTATTCTAAAGTCATCATGATAGTCTATTATGCTTTCTTCTGAATGTTTTTAGTGTTTATATTCATTTTTAGGTCTTCAGTGTACTTGGAATTTATTTTTGTGTTTGTTGAAAGGTATCAATCTAATTTTTTAATTCTATATAAATAATCAATATAGTCAAATGGGTTTAAAACACTAAAGAGACAGAGACCCTGATTGGACTGAAAGGGACATGTTTTTATATTGACAAAAGTTATTAATCTCTGAAAATATCTATATTTTAATTTTTCCTCTAAAAAGACATCATTGAAATATATAAGCAAAAATTATTGGAATTAACATGAAGAATTGATTAAAACTCTACCATAGATAGAGATTTTAGTGCAACTATCCCAGGAATTAAATATCAAGTTGACAAAAATGACTAATAAACTCAACCTTTATATATATTTGCATGTGTCTGATTTTTGTTGGTAGATGGGAAACAGATAATAAAAATTATTTTTAAATATCTATGGAGTATGTAAAACTGACCATTTATTAGGCCACAAAGAAAAGCTTACAAATTTTGTAAAATAAAACTTATGTAGAACACAGTTCCTGACCACAATGTAGTAAAGCCAGAAATGCACCATGAAAGAGTAGCCAAAATCCTTTCCAACTAGAAATTTTAAAAACACCATTGGTAGAGAAGAAATTAAAGTGCAGATTACAAATTATTTGAAAATTAATGGCAATGAGAATGCCACATAACAAAACCTACGGGATGTGGACAAAAAAGCATTTAAAGGAAAATGTAAATACTTTAATAAATGTATTAGAAAATGAAAGAAAGTCCTTTAAAAAATGTAAGCATTCAGCTAAAGAAGCATAAAAATAAAATAAATGTAAAGAAACTAGAAGGAAGAAATTAATATAATGGTAGAAATGAAGAAAAATAGAAATTAACAAATGCTAGACTTGGTCAACAGAATGAAGAATTGATTCCATGAAAGACTAATGAAATAAACAAGGTTCTAACAAATTTGACCAAGGGAAGAGAGAGAGAGATAGAATATAAATAAATAAACCTCAAGAAGATATATCTAGGATTATGAAGATTTTTTAAAATTTAAAGATAATAGTAAATATAATTTCTTCTAATGGATCTTAATATCTATAAAAATGATTTTTTAAAAATAAATGACCAAAATACTGTAATACTGTAGGATTGAGGAAGGGGTGAGCAGAACTCTCATTTTTTAAAATCTATATACTTCTATGGATTTGAATTTTATATCATTCTTTTCTTAAAAAAAAAAAAAGAATTAAAAAAAGCCTTACTGGCCAGGCGCAGTGGCTCACGCCTGTAATCCTAGCACTCTGGGAGGCCGAGGCGGGTGGATTCCTCAAGGTCAGGAGTTCGAGACCAGCCTGAGCAACGGCAAGACCCTGTCTCTACTAAAAATAGAAAGAAATTATTTGGACAACTAAAAATCTTTATACAAAAAATTAGCCAGGCATGGTGGCGCATGTCTGCAGTCCCAGCTACTCGGGAGGCTGAGGCAGTAGGATTGCTTCAACCCAGGAGTTTGAGGTTGCTGTGAGCTAGGATGACGCCACGGCACTCTAGCCCGGGCAACAGAGCAAGAATCTGTCTCAAAAAAAAAAAAAAGCCTTACTGCATTTTTAGGGCTAACTTTGTCATCTAGCATCCAGGAGGAACAATTTGGTGAGGGCAGTGTGCCATGAACAAAAGCCAGCAGCCTATGCCTTTCTCTCCAGGTAGAGGAAGGAACAACCAACATAGCCGGCAGTTGTCCCTGGCATGCAGGACAATTTAGGGACTGTCTGGGCCTTGCCTGCCTCCCTTTCAAATCACATGACTAAATGGGCTGGTGTCACTGCCAGTGTTTTCCTTATATCACCTAGAAAAGACAGCACAGTGTAGGGAATTAATTCGGTTAAAATGTATACTTATGGCCGTTTCTTCTGCTGACTTTATACATGAGATCCTTGCAACACTTCCTGGAGGTGGATTAAGCACAAATTATTGTTTCATATAGAAGGTAAGGAAGTTGAACCTTGGGGAAAAAAAAAATGAATGTGGGTGGAATGGCCAGCCATATGTTAGTTACATATTGCAAGTAAGTAAAGGTTCAGCCAGCAAACATTTTTTACTGCACTTTACTTGAATATTAAGCAGCAATGACACGCTACTTTGTTTCTTGTTTACCCTCAGGTTCATTTATTGGTGTTAATGTCTTCCCTCCACACACAGGTGGCACCAAAGCATGTGGCTTTGTGGTTTATCAAAACAGCAAGCTTTTCCAATCAAAAACTTTTACAACTAAATCAAATTTTAGTCAAAAAGTTATCTCAAGCAAAACTGATGAAAATGAGCAAGTTCAGAGTACTTCTGTTGAAATGGTCTTTAGTCCAAAGGTGAGTGTTTCCATGAACAGAAATAAAAAAAAAATCAGACCAATCTTGATTACAAAAGCAGGGATAGTTTGGGTAAAAGAAATATATATATAAACTCTTTGAAAGATTCTTTGAAGTATTCATTTAAATGTTCTACCTACTCATATCTTTCATCAAACTAAACACAAAGTTAACTAATTTGAATTTTATATCCTTTCCCCTTCCTTGATCTATAATGAAGATACTAATGCTTAGTACATGTTTTACTGATTTCTTGTATTACTAGCTTATCCTATTTGATTTTTTTACCCACTTGAGAATTCAAAAAATCAGTAATTGTAATTTTCTTATCAATTCACAGTACAACCAACAATTCCAGCTCCATTCCTATGCCTGTGTCTATTGGAATTTTTCAACAAAGGACTGGGACACATACGGCTGTAACAAAGACAAGGGCCCTGATGGATTCCTGCACTGCCGCTGCAACCATACTACTAACTTTGCCGTTTTAATGGTAAGGCAGTACACAGCAATCTCTTTCCAGACAAGAATTTTCTTTATTCACAACTCTAGTATGTGCTCATTGGAAGTACCTTTGGGGTTTCATTTACATGGATTCTCAACACAGATTAAACAGAAAAATAAGGAATGGAGTGATAGGACTAAAAAGGGACATGCTGGTAAAGGCAAGCAGAATAGAGCTTTCTGCAATATGGTCTTAGGTTAGAGAGAGTAGCACCACGTATTTAATAATGGGAAGGGAACACATTCAACTCACTCACATGTTCTAAAGCATAAAGTTGCTGTGGCCGGATGTGAAGCTGTATAGCTGTGTGTTAGAGACAGGTTTAATACAAACTCATCTACATGTGAACAACTTAAATCAGTTATATAAAGCTTTTTCCATTGAAAGCATTCAAATTACTAAGTTTTTGCTAGAAGATATAAAGGAAGAGCTCTTGAACGCATTCAATTTGTCCCATAGTACCTCTATGTATTCGTTACTTCTTTTACTTCTAAGGCTCTGCTGTGCAAGTAACTGATCCACTTAGCTCTGCTGTGCAGCTGCATGTGTATCTTTTAAAGTTCTTGGGCTGACTCTTTTAAGAAGAGGAGCTTCTGTTTGTTCCAATTCCAGAAACCTGTTATTCTGGTGAAACCAAAAATGTCAGTTTATATACTCGATAGAATATTTTTATATGCAATGGAATGAGGAGATATGTAGAGTGTCTTCCCCCTATTAAGGAGCTATTAATGCTATAAGAGAGAAGCAGATGTTTTCATTCCTCAGTAGCTATGATGTAGTCATATTTGGGAAGCCAGGGGAGATCAGTAGAATATACTGGTACAGCCTGGATTATCAAAGTATAGAGCTTTGCTTTTTAAATTTTTTTTCTGAAAAAGAAACTATAGTTTTCTTTTTAATTATCAAACATCTCTTATTTTAATTGATTCAAATTATTTCTTTTCAACTTACAGAGAGATCTACTTTCTCCATCAGAAGATACTAAAGATAAAATTTTAACTTCTTTGATATCTTAAAGTCATAATATTGTTGAATAGCTGTGTAAATAAAGCTCAGGCTGCTATGCATGTTAAATGATATAGACTATTTTGTCACAGTTATCTTTCCCCTTCTTTGAGGTCAGGCTTTCAGCTATGTCTTCTCACTAATATCTGAGTCAGCCTCAATGCCTGCCTACCCACATTGTAATTAGTTTGGCGTTGCAATTTTTTTTAAAAGGCTTATTAGAATTATATGTAAAATAAGAGCTCATAGGCTCTGAGTGAATAGATTATTTTTAAGATTTGAAGATCTATGCATTCTATGATTCTTTGTGCAACTATTTGGTGTACTACACACAAGAAATATATTTTTGTTTTTTAAAAAATGTTTATTTTTTATTCTATTTTTATAAAAGCAGTACATACACATTGCATAAAGTATGAAACTTTACCTATTAAACAATTAATATACTTACATGGAAAATATCTATGAAAAGTTACAATGGCAATTCAAGCATAATCCTATTATGTTAACAAATAGAATCTGTATAAGAGACATGGATAATAATTTTAGGCAATTAAAGACAGTCAACTCTGGAAAAAAGGATTCTAAGATGTAGAATATAGTGTGGGGTAGCTGGCAGAGGGTAGAGGAACATATACTTTTTATTATGCTTCTATATTACTTTCATGTTTTACAAATAAGCATACATTGCTTTTCTAATTTTAACAATTTAAAAAATCAGAAAGTACAGACAAGCAAAGAGAATTATATATATTGTACCCACCATGACTACCTTTGAATTATGTATATTATACCCACCTGACAACTACCCCATGAATACCCCACTATTTCTACCTTAACAGATTTCTATGCTTTTCTGTGCATTGATACAAACATACTGGGATATAGATACATTACACAAAAATGAGACCTCCTTTTTAAAAAATTAAGAGGATCATATGAATATCTTTCCACATCCATGGAAATAATTTCTGCAACTTTATTTTTAGTATATAAACTTATATATGCTTGGATTATGGTTATAGATAAAAATAATGTAATTGATAAATGTAACTACTCTAGGCGATTTAGATCTAACTCAAACAACTTTGATTTTAGTTATCAAGGTAAAGTATATACAATTAACCCTTGAACAACAAGGGTTTGAACTGCGTGGATCCACTTACACACAGATAAATGGCCAGCCCTCTGTCTGGCAGGTGCTGCATCCACAACCGAACGGAGATTGAAATACAGGATTTGCAGGATGGGAAGCCTGTATGTGGAGGCTGGCTTTTTGTATCTGCAGGTTCCTCAGGACCGACTGTGGGACTTGAGTATGTGTAGATTTTCTTATCTGTATATTTTCCCTAACTGCATTAGTACACTGCTTGGAGATAAGGGCCTAATGTATTTCATTTTTAAATATAGCAAAAGCTTTATAAAAAAGAAGACATATCTGACAACTATCTGGTGATTTTGACCAATGTAACTCTTCATGATGTTGACCTTCATTGACATTTCAGGAATGGTTATTTAAAAATATGAGTCTTAACTTGTTTTTCAGACTTTCATAAAGGGTTATCAGTATCCTGAATCACTAGACGTTTTCTCCATCATTGGATGTGCCCTGTCCATTCCTGGTCTGGCTCTTACAATTATATTTCAGATTGTCACCAGGTAAGAGGAGAAGCAGGCTCTTTTCACAAGAGGAGTTGCTATCCTGATATAATTTACTCTCAGCATATTCTCATTAGAATACAGTCTCTTTGAACTGGAAGGGAACTCAGAGATTTAGTTTAATGTGCTCATTTTACAGAGAAGGACACTTGGGCCTGCAAAGGCTAAGAAACGCACACAAATATATAATTACAAATGCCTTGAAAGAAAACTACATGCCATGTAATTACCAGTTTGTCACGTAAAATTAATGTGGTCCCACAGCTCATCAACTCTATAATTCCTTAGTGTTGAATAGAACCATGCCTACCAATTTGCATTTGTGAAAGAAACATTGCTAAACAGCAAATTTTTGAAAATAATTTTTAAAATACATAATGTTCTCAAATGGTGAAAGTTTTTTCAACAATAAATTTTTCAAACGGTGAAAGTTTATGAATTCCATAGTTCTTTTGAAAAAACTAATTTTAAGTAATCACCTATAAACTCATATCTCTGTCCACCTTGACTCCTTTATTTACGGTCCCGTTTTGTATCTCACTTGTTACTTTTTGTCAAATGCCACATTTTAAACTGTCTGTAATCTTTTAGAAGCTTGTTTGTTTATTAGTTTATTTGTTTACTGTCTGTTTTCCCCATCAGCATGAAATTTTATAAGGGCAGTGACCTTTCCTGATTTTGTTGCTGGAGTTTGTTTTGTTTTCATCATTGTATCCTCAGGGCCAAGCACGGTACCTGGCGCATAGTAAAGGAGTATCTATAGAGTAAATGGGTCTACTGAGCATTTTTCCATGTGGTTCTCCTTTCATACTCAAGATGTCTCAAGATAAACTCATCTTTCCTTTAGAGTCTCCTAAATGTCTTCATGACTATTTTCTCAGATGTGTAGAATCAGAATTTTTTTATTTTGAAAGTATTGCTATTTAAATTTTTTCCTAATGTTTTATTTTAAAAAATTAAAAACAGAAGAATTGAATGAGAATGCTGAACACCCATATTCTCTTCACCTTGATTCACTAATTATTAATATTTTGCTTTATCTCTTCTTTTATTTTTTCCTGAAATTTTGAAAGTAAATTGTACATATCGTGACTGTCATCTCTAAATTTTTCAAGCATCTATCTCCTAAGAACAAGGGCATTAGCATAATACCATCTCTCCACTCAAGAAATTTAACATTAATAAAATATTATCATGTTAATGTACAATCCATATTCAGATTTCTCCAATTGTCCCAGTAATATCCATTATAGCTATTTTTTTTTCCTCAATTCATTTAGCTGTCATGTCTCTTTAGTCTCCTTTGGCCTAGAAGAATTCCTCTGTCTTTTTTGTGTTTGTTTAGGTCTGTCATGACATTGAAATTTTTGAAGTGTTAAGGCCAGTTATTTTTTTTTTTTTTTATTTCAGCATATTATGGGGTACAGATGTTTAGGTTACGTGTGTTGCCCTTGGTTCCCCTCCCCCCAAGTCCGTGTTTCAAATATGTCCATCCTTCGGGTAATGCGCATTGCACTCCTTGTGTATACAAATACCCGTCCCCTCCTCCCTCCTCCACCCTCCTCCCACCGCCGTCCCCCTTCCCCAGCATCCAATAGATGTTGTCTTGATATGTGCTTTTATGTGTTGATTAGTTAATACCAATTTGATGGTGAGTACAAATGGAACCCGTTCTTTTGCTCTTGTGGTGCCCCACTTTGGATAATGGGCTCAAGTTTAATCCAGGAAAATGTAAGTGGTGCTAGATCACTGTCATTTCTTATAACTGAGTAATATTCCATTGTAAACATATACCAAATTTTGATAATCCACTCATGGATTGACGGGTACTTGGGTTGTTTGCACATTCTTGCAATAGTGAATTGTGCTGCCATAAACATTCGGGTGCAGATGTCCTTATCGTACAATGTTTTGTGCTCTTTTGGGTAGATGCCTAATAGTGCTATTGCTGGATCGAATGGTATTTCTATTTTTAGCTCTCTGAGGTATCTCCAAATTCTTTTCCACAGAGGTTGCACTAATTTGCAGTCCCACCAGCAGTGTAGAAGAGTTCCTGTCTCTCCACATCCTCGCCAACATTTGTTGTTTTGTGTTTTTTTGATAGAGGCCAATCTTACCGGGGTTAGGTGATACCTCATTGTGGTTTTGATTTGCATTTCTCTAATGATTAGAGATGTTGAGCATTTTTTTATATGTTTGCTGGCCATTATTCTGTCTTCTTTTGAAAAGTTTCTGTTCATTTCACTTGCCCATTTGTCGATGGGGTTGTTTGATTTTTTCTTGTTGATTTTTTTGAGTTCTAGATAGATTCTGGTTATCAGCCCTTTATCAGATGTGTAGAGAGCAAATATTTTTTCCCATTCTGTGGGCTGTCTATTCACTCTAATGATAGTTTCCTTGGCAGTGCAGAAGCTTTTTAATTTGATTAGATCCCACTTATTTATTTTTGTTGCTGCGGCGATTGCTTTGGGGGTCTTCTTCAAGAATTCCTTACCTAGGCCGATGTCTGAAAGGGTCTTCCCAACATCTTCATTTAGAATTCTTAAGGTTTCATGCCTTAGGTTTAAGTCTGTTATCCACCTTGAATTGATTTTTGTGAGAGGTGAGAGGTAGGGGTCTAGTTTCAGTCTTCTGCATGTAGCTATCCAGTTTTCCCAGCACCATTTATTGAAAAGAGATTCTTTTCCCCAGTGTATGTTTTTGTCAGCTTTGTCAAAGATTAGATTACTATATGCAGATAGTTTCATCTCTGGATTCTCAATCCTGTTCCAGAGGTCAATGTCTCTATTTTTGTACCAGTACCAAGCTGTTTTAATCACTACAGCCTGGTAGTACAGCTTGAAGTCAGGTAAACTGATTATGGATTGTAAGGAAATTGAATGGAATAGAAGAGAAAATAGAATCCCAACATAAAGAAACCACGAGAACAATCCAGGAAATGAATGAAAAATTTTCCAAAGAAATTGAAATACTAAGGAAAAACCAAACAGAAATTTTGTCTATGAAGGAGGAATTCAGGGAACTTCAAAATACAATGGAAAGCCTCAAGAACAGAATGGATCATGCAGAGGAAAGAATCTCAGAGCTTGAAGACAATGTCTTTGCGCTGAACAAATCAGACGAAGAAAAAGAATTCAGACGCAAGAGACAAGACCAAAGCATTCAAGATGTGTGGGATTATGTAAAGAAAGAGAACCTTAGGATCATCAGTCTTCCAGAGAGAGAAGAAGAAGATACTCAAGGGCTGGAAAACTTATTTCATGGAATACTGGAGGAAAATATGCCAGTTATTTTGAAGAATGTTCTACAATTTAAGATTTGTCTGAAATTTTCCTCGTGATTAGATAGATGCAGGTTAACTATTTTTGGTGGGACTACTACATCACTGAATTTTTTTTTTTTTTAGTGTGACACAGGAAGGGCATATCAGTTTGTCCCATTATTGGCTGTAAGTTTGAGTCCTTGTTTAAACTGGTGTCTGCCAGATTTCTGCATTTTTTAATGGTTCATTTTTTTCCTATGTCAAAAATATGGGGTGCTACTTTGAGACCGTGTGGTATCCTGTCTCCCAATTATCTTTTACTCCACAATTTTGGTATTCACTGATGATCCTTACCACAACAAATTATTACATAGTGGTTGAAAAATGATCCTTTTCTAGTTTATCATTCTTTCTATATTTATTTGCTATATTCTTTTGTAAAAAGCGTACTTCCCAATGTAGTCAGAGAAAGCCCCTTCATATTGTTTTCTGATGTCTCAGTCTTTTTAAGCACTTCCTTATTTCAATCACAGCGAGGTGATTGGGTTCATCTTTCACTTTCTCTGCCTGGAAACCAAACCAGACATTTCTCCAAAGAGCCAGAATTGTTTCTGATTTTTCTTCTCCTTTCACATTAAATGAGTCTCTTACCATTCATTTAAAAATTTTATATTGAGTGCTTGCTGTATGAGGAGCTGAACACAAAATTATCAGCAAGACAGATAAGCTCCCATTTGTTATGAAATTTACATTCGCAGGGGGAAGACATGCATTATACAAATATATACACAAACAAATATATAATTACAAACTATGGTAAATGCCTTGAAGGAAAATTCTATGTAATTATAAGTTGGCCATGTAAAATTACTTGCTTCTCATATTTATCTCTTTGTATTTCTACCATCACCACAATTGTACTGACAATTATTTGGTCCCATGGGGATGAGTTGCAGTTGCCGCATAACTAGTTTTTTGTTTTGTTTTTTTTTTTTTGCCTAAAATCTCATTCCTTCTGTTTGTCATCAGATTTTTTCCCCTTCCTTTATCAACATGTTTCCTAGCACAATTCTGCAATCATAAATGCGACTCAAATTCATTAAGAAATAAAAATAAAGACAAAATTTTATTGACTTTTAAGTCTTGAATCATACAGGTTTTCTTTGTTCACAGGTAAGTTCTTATACAATAAAAATGCGTGGAATACAGTTGGTCCCCAACTTACCGCATGGGTCTCATCCAGATAAGCCCATCATAAGTTGAAAATGCACTTTCAACTTAAAGATCTTGTCAACCTATGATGGGTTTATCTGGACATAACCCCATTGTAAGTAGGGGAGCATCTATATAGTAATTTTCTGTAAGAAGGAACAGCTATTTGAAAATAATCTCTTCTTCCTGAGGATTGTAATTTATGTTCAAATTTATATAAAAATTAGAAACTAATCTTACTTTTATATAAAAGGATCCTTTTGAGTACTTTTTGCAGTTCTGGTCTTTAAACCTTTCAATAGACAATGAAATTTTGAATTGTCTAGGAAATCTCAACTAAAATACCAAAAGGATGGACTGAGTTCTGTTTGAATGTAAGCTTTTTTATTCAGTGTGGAAATCCGAAGACTGAGAGAGATCATGATGGAATGTCATAAAATAATAAAAGGATAATGAGCAAACAGATTTGTTCATTCAATTCTGGGTTATTAAGAATAGAGAGGTGTTTGAAAATGTTAGAACTTCAAGCACAGCAGTAAACCTGGGGAAGTGGTTATTCCAAGAGATAGTGCAGTCTAAAAAGGTTTTAGATAGTAGTGAGTAAAGATTTTATAACTTTCATTAGGATAGAACAGAATGCATAGTATACACAGAACTGTAATATGTCAGTAGAAGGGATATAAGGTTTTATCTGCCTTTAAACAATAAGGAAAACATTACATGTACAAAAAGGAGAATATCATGCCTCACTTTTGAGATCAACTTTATTAAGGGAAATCTTGTTTTCTCTGCCAATCTGAAGATATGCACATGGGCCAGCACAGAACATATACATGCACTACATACACACACACACACACACACACACACACACGCACGCATACACACACATACACATACACACACACTCTTATATTGCCTTACTGGTAACAAGGCCAGCATTCAGAGAAAATCAGAGAAAAAGCTCTTCTTTTAGAGCAAATACATTAATTAAATAAGAGAAGGGGGAGGGGAAGCAGTTTTAAAGACTACTTGGTTATATACCCAAAAATTATATCTTTAAATGAAGAAACACTCCTTGGGCATGTTTTACATTAAGAGGACTGTTCAGAATATCTTGACCATTTGGCAATTAGCAAGTGTTTCCCTAAGTGTGGTCCTTGGGAGATGCACGTGGAAACAGGATTCTGAGAAATCTTGCAGAAAACATACATGTGAAATTCAGCTATTTGAAGAGATAGTAATCATCAGTCTACTCAAAGAATAACATCAATAGCAATAGGTTGTACAACAAATTTAAAATATTTTTACCTAATTTAAAGTGTTTGTGGAAGCCTCACTCTTTAAACGTAATGTGAGCTAAATATTATATAATTTTGTTTGAAATGTATTATGTTGTTATGTGAAATTATTTTAAAATTATATTTGGCCTTATTTTAAAATTTGTAAGTGCATTTTAAAAATAATTTACATTTGAAAACTCAAGAGTCTTTTTCTCTGCATTCAAACATGAGTTTATCTACTAATATGTAGTTTTGTATTTTAAATTTTAAAAAATCCATTTAAGGCCTTATCTACAGATGGCCTTTGTATATGCTTGCAAATTTACAGTAAAAATTATCTAGTGCTATATAAAAAACTGCCCTAAAACTTAGTGGCTTAAAGCCACAGTTTATTATTTCTAATGATTTTGTGGTTTGACTAGGCTCGGCCGGATTCTTCTGCTGGTTTTCCTGGGGTCTCCTATGAGACTGCAGTCAGATGGTGGCTGGGGCCGGAGTCATCAGGAGGCTCACCTACGATGCTGGGGCAGCTGCATCTTTCTCTCCCTCCCTGTAGATTCAGAGCATTTCCATGTTGTCTTTTCAGCAGGGTGGCTGGACTTATACGTGGTGGCTCAGAACTCCCAAGAGCACAAGAGAGAAAGCTGCCACCAGGGCCGTGCTATGACCTTTGTGGTCCTCAGGCACTTTTGTCTTTGTGGGACTTTTCATGCATATATAAGATTAAAAATTGTATTTTATGACTGCATTGGTATAAAGATGAATATATTAATATTCTTTGACCTAAAAGTTCTTTTTTCCTTCTAATTTTAAAAGAAGTTAAAACATTGTTGTGAGCCCTAAAAATATTGTGGGCCCTAAGCACTAATGTGTCTAGTGGGTGAGTCGGCCCTGGTGGCCAGGCCTTCTGTCTCATTCCATGAGTTAAATCAAGGCACAGGCCCCCAGAAAAGACTACACAGGGCACAAATACCAGGCAGTGGAGTTCTCTAGGGGCCATCTTTGGAGATTAGCTATCATTTTTGATCAGAATACAGTTTCAAGAAAGAATACATCAACCTGTTTCCTGTAATTCACTTATTTGTGGAAATGAGATAAGAGTGTGAATTTCTTATATAATTGACAAGTCAGATTTACCAGCTGGCCCCACTGTGCTATGAGCTAGATTTACACTGGGTGATAATATTCCTTTGTTTCCTTACAATTTCACTGGAGTTTAATTTTTGCAGTTGTTCCGTTTATATTTAGTTTTTTATATTTACTGTTTTATTTTCAGGAAACTCAGAAAAACCTCAGTGACCTGGGTGTTAGTCAGTCTATGTACATCAATGCTGATTTTCAACCTCCTCTTTCTGTTTGGAATTGAAAATTCCAATAAGAACTTGAAGACAAGTGATGGTGACATAAATAATATTGACATTGATAATAATGAAATGCTCACAAAAGACATCATTGACATTCCAAATCCCACGTGCACTGCGATGGCTGCCTTACTGCACTATTTTCTGTTAGTGACATTTACCTGGAATGCACTCAGTGCTACACAGCTCTATTTCCTTCTAATTAGGACCATGAAGCCTTTTCCTCGACATTTCATTCTCTTCATCTCATTAATTGGATGGGGTAAGTGTTTGCATCTCCACTTACTCAGCAGTTTAATTTCACTTCACATCATTTAATTTAAACAAACACCCATTGAGGGCCAAATAATACCAGGCTTTGAGATAGGGAAGATAGAAAATATAGTGATTACTAAGAACATTTTCTTCTAGTAGCTTATACTCCAGTGAAGGAGGCAGAAGTGATCAAGACAGGTATACTAGATACATGATAAGCTAACTTAAAGAGGATAATTTCCTTTAACATCTCTTTTTATTAATTTGATTTGAGATTTAGATCACCAATAATTAACTTCGAGCTGCTTTGAAAGAAATGTTTCAAGAAAGACAATCAGAGTGACTCTCTAAGACAAAGTATTTGAAAAATTTATTGGGTTTCCAGCAAAGGAAGAATTGTTTTAGGGATATCTAAATTTAAATTTATTCAAGTGAAAGAGGAACTATGCCATTTAAGAATGGAAATTGTGGTAAGAGTTACAAAGAAATCAGAAATAGTATAGGATTTGTGTGTAGAGGCAACACCAAAAGGGAAAAGAAAACGCTTAGAGAAAAATTATGTCTTCTGTTGACCTACAACTGTGGGATCATTTAGTGTCTTGTCCATGGTGGAAAGAACAATATATTCTGAAATAGGTCAGATGTATAATTCACTAATGGTCTTTTATAATTAATCCCAGTCTTGGATAAATCATTAATTCTGTGCCTCTCTTTGTCATATAGGAGTCCCGGCTATAATAGTGGGTATAACAGTGGGAGTTGTTTATGCTCAGAGTGGGAGTGACCCACAATGGGAGTTGAACTACCGGCAAGAGGAAATGTGAGTTTACATCTGTAAAAATCTCTATTTCTTTGACATAAGAGTATAACTATTTAGTGATGTTGATTCCAAGTGTCACTGTACATATGCATTTCTCTTTAGAATTGTCATATTTAGTGGTGAGTATTTCAATTTCTCAAAGAACACATTATATTTTAAATTGGGGGACACAGAAATTTCCTATGATAGATCCTTTTGTAACACAAGTAATCACCTTCTGAATTTTCTTATATTAAATTTGTCTTCTTTCACTAAGTCTGAAAACCGTGATATAATATGATCTTTGGTAACTCTGTATCTTGGGTTGCTCATCTGGAAAATGGGAACAACAATAACAGTAATACCTGTTCTAGGGTTACTGTGTGGGGTCAAGCAAGTGTGAAAACATTTAATAACTTGAAGAGCACTATCCCTATGTCTTGCTCGTATGAACCAATTCTAAGTCGATGTATATATAAGGAGTATTTTATGACGATTTATCACACATAATAAATTTTCCTAGTGACTGCAGTGTGAATAGCTAACTGGTAATAATGGAAGTACCTGACTGTATGGTGTTTACTTTTTACATGAGGCAGCAGAGAAGAAAGCGCAGCTGAACTGGGATTCAAATCTTTACATGTATTTCTGCTGTCAAACCGCAACTGCCCTTTAGTTTATCTTCCCTTCTCATTTTATAAATCCAACCATCGTAATCCCCGGATTCCACCTTAAGTCCCAAGCCAACCCAAATGAAAGCAAAACTCTTAGAAATGAGCAGGAATGCCCAAGGGAAGGCTGTGGGTTCAGGGGACTTACCTCTTTCCTAGGGATGACCATGCCCAACTGTAGGTGAGGGGGCTGACTGCCTGGCTTGATTTCATACTCCCAGACACTATTTTGCCACTGTTTAATTATTATTAAATATCTTTCTGAGTTTTAAGATTTTAATCATCTCACCATTAGAGATATCTAAGATGCAAATATCTGGTGGGGGCAGTAGTTCACTTCAAATTGCATTATTAATTTCCTTCCCTAACCCAGGCAGCAGAGGGCTAGACTCACTGCTATAAAAGCCTTCAGAAGAAAGAAGCCAACTGATTTTAATTTATTCACACTGAACTATAAAATAATTAAGACCAGATCCTTTCTTGAGTACAGTATTAGTTGCTGGAGAAGACTCTAAGAGAAGTTGGGAAGAGAGGAAAGGATGTGTAACATAAGTATCCACTTCATCTTAGACCCCTGTGCTCCCACCTTCCCCTACGTGCATGCCATCAAGGGTCATGTTTCTTCAGGATATATTGAGAACGAGGAGGGATTATTTTTGGTTTTCCTGAGTTATCCTCCCAGCAGTTGGTTCTGAAGATCCTGTCCCCCACTGCTCCCAGCTCTGTGGGTCGTACTTGAAACCCCTGACCCAGCTCCCTGATGTACTCCTGTCACTGCATGGACCCAGGTATGGGCTGAGCACAGGGCGGGCCACGCTCTTTAATGCTCTACCCCCTGATTCTCTGTGCCACCACCATATGGACTGTTTCAGACATTCCTGAGGGGTTGAGGTAACCATGGGAAATTATAATATATTGAGGAGGGGACCTTTTTCAAGTGTATGTTTATATGCCGAAGCTATCTTTTCCAGTGTTCCATGACAAACACACCAATAGGTTAAACACTTCATCTGTGTTAACCTATGATGCTCTCCAGACGTCAGATCCATAGCTGTTTGTCAGGTCAGCTTCTTCTACCATGTGACTCCACTATCTCATTTCTAGAAATCCCACTTCTTTTTTTTTTTTATATATATTTCTTTCATTACCCTTGAGATATCTTTTTTTTTTTTTTGAGACAGAGTCTCACTCTTTTGCCTGGGCTAGAGTGAGTGCCGTGGCATCAGCCTAGCTCACGGCAACCTCA